AGGATACGAAGACCGCGAATGGAAAGATCGCGCTCAGGGTCGGGAACAATGGCGGGATTTGGTATTTGCGGCAATGAACTTTCGAGTTCCTAATGCCAGTTAATAATAATAAAAATACTTATAATAAATTATTAAATACTTACCGTATCGATCAATAATACAATATAATCGTGTTGCATTTGTCTCGTATTCAAATTCGATAAGTTTTGACAATTTTTTTTATTTCAACAGAGATGATCGGAATTCGTTCGAGATAAACACGTTCATTAGTAATACTTACTTTTTTAAATTTGTAAATTTCTAGTATAAAAGCGTTCAATATTTAACGTAAAAATGCAGCATACAATTTTATAATATTATACCCGATTAGGTATAAAAAATTTTAAACTTATTCTTTCATTTTACGAATTAAACAAATTGCTCGAAGTCTTCATCATTAATTTAAAGTATATATAAGCAAGAGCTGATGCTACGAGAAATTTCATTTTTACGATAAACGAGAGACAGAAAAACAAAAGAGGAATAAAACAAAAACTTAGAAAAATAAAAATAAAAATAAAAATGAAAGAAATTGATCTGCATCGTACGCTTCTCGGACAGCCTCACAGGGAATTGTTCAGTCCGTAGCCGAGATTTTTTGCGAATAGAGAGATGAAAATAAGGAAAAACGCGAGAGCCAATCTCGTTCGTTGGTACGTATTCCCGATAGACATCTGTATATGCTCTTTCCAGAGATTTCAGAAATATTCATTTTAATGGTTGATCTAACGCGGGTATTGGTTACTGTTGAAGTGCTACGTGTTCAGAATTCTTTGTGGGGAAACACGTACGAGCAAAATACTCTTCCTCTCTTTCTCTTGAAAAGATGCTTCATAGCTGCCGTTATTCCTCACGTATATACTTCGTTGAATGTTACGATTAAAGTATCAAAAATACTTAAATCATTTTTAAATCTATAAATCTATGAAGCTTTCGCTTGAAAAAAAAAAAAACTTTAAATATACGATGTTTATTAAAGTTCGAACATTTCGAAAAAAATAACTTCCTTTTGAATTTATGATATCGAATATTCTATATCAATTCTATATTGAATTGTAAGAATTTTTAATTAAATGATGCGTTTTTATTAGAAATCCAATAAACGTGAAAGTATGTTAATGTATGTACATTAGGGTGGGTCAAAAAAATCAATTATTTTTTTTTTTACAAGTGACACGGAAAAATGGGTTGCTAGACACCTTAAAAGTATTCTCACCAAATATGAGCTCTTAATTTTAATAGAAAGATCCTCCGTATCGCAGTTTTTTATTTTTTTCTCAGTCCAATAAAATAAAATTCATACCGCATCATTAATTGATTGTACAGAAAAATGTTCTGAAAGAATTTTGTAGGAAATTTAATGCTCTACAAAAAAGGTATCTTATATATTTTTTCCGTAAACTTTACCGTTTGAATGATATTGAAGATTTAAGTTTGATTATTTTMAGACAAATTTCATTTTTGTTTATGAATTTTATAACTCGACAATAAATGACTATTATAAAATGCGCAATACAAATTTTTGTAGGAAATTAACTGCTCTATAAACATGGTGTCTTATGTTTTGGCGATTAAATTAAGCGTTCAAAAGATATTTATCATCAAACTTTCATGTGTACTGATTTTTAAAGTTTTTGATTAGATATTCGAAAAATTTCAATTTAATTTATAAGTTTTGAGAAAATTTACACGAATTTTAGTATTTTTCAACTAAGAAACTTCAAAATATTTTTCAAGTTTTTTTTTATGTTTAAGTATCTTTGTTTACATATAAAAAAATAAATTCTACATTATTTATYGCTTAGTTAATTACTTATTAATWWAAWAAAGCAAAGTTTTCATTATAAATATATTATATGTTTCAGTTTTAGAGAAAAAAAATGTCCAATTAGTTATAAAAAAGTATTTTATTTCAATTTTTAACTGAGTTATTAATTTTCAAACAATTTTTTGTTGCAAGTAGGGTAATTTTTTCGATGCTCTTTAACAACTTGCAATAAAAATTGAAATTGCTCTTCGTTTTTTGTTAAGTATTGGTTATATTCACTTACTAATGCGACACTTCGCTCTGTCACATCATTAACAACTTTCAATTGTGCGAAAAATTCTTTATTTTCATTATAACTGTCATCAGTAGACCATAAATCAATATTTTTGTCAAGAAAATCATATGGCAGATCAAAGAGCTCAAAATGTTTGAAAATAAAACTCAAATAATACTTATATTAATGACAAAAAATGAAATTTGTATGAAATTCATAAATTAAATTGAAATTTTTCGAATATCTAATCAAAAACTTTAAAAATCAGTACACATGAAAGTTTGATGATAAATATAATTTGAACGCTTAATTTAATCGCCAAAACATAAGACACCATTTTTATAGAGCAGTTAATTTCCTA